TAACTAACTAACTAACTAACTATCTATCTATCTCTCCCTCTCTCTATCTATCTATCTATCTATCTATCTATCTACTTATCTGTCTATCTATCTATCTGTCTATCTATCTATCTATCTATCTATCTATAGAGGCCCCACGAGTCGGCTTTAGGGTTGAGGTTTGTAGAGTTTGGGATTTCAGGCTGAGGGTTTCAGGATTTGGAGCTTGGGGATCAGGGTTTTGGGGCTTCAAGGTTTCGAGTTGGGTTTAGGGTCTAGGGTTTAGGGTTTAGGGTTTAGGGTTTAGAGTTTGGGTTTAGGGTTTAGGTTTAGGGTTTAGGGTTTAGGGTTGACGCGCTGACGCTCTAGACTTGGTTGGTTCCTATAGCTCTGGGATGTGTTTCTTATGCAGATTTGAGTCCTTACCTGTATATTTCCCCAAAGACCCCTGCAGTATCAGCGTCCGCTCAGGGTCCCTCATTCTGCTTTGTTTGTATGCTGCGAAGGCTGGCCTTTAGACCTCCTTGAGAGGGGCCCTAAGTAAGGGGGGGTCGGGGAGATGGCAGGGGACTATACTTCCTTAAATAGGCCTTAATGGGTCCTTAGGACTGCGTACCCTCCCCCTTAAGGTCCTTAAACCCTACTAAACCCTACTAAACCCTACAAAACCCTATTAAACCCTACTAAACCCTACTAAACCTTACTAAACCCTACTAAACCCTACAAAACCCTACTACCCCCCGACCCCCCCTTTAAGGTCTTCCTGACTCCTGAGCCCCGAATCGGTCCCCTTCCTTAAAGTAGGCCTTAATGGGTCCTTACTACCCCCTTGAGGTCCTCCTGACTCCTGAACCCCCGCATCGGCCCCCTCTGCTAGGCAACAGAAGGAGAAATTCCGGGACCTCGGCCTGATCGAGGCCTTCTCTCTCGGATATCCAAAAAAAGAGAGGTCGGAATAGATGCTGATCCTACTTTTTGTCTGTTTATAGTACTTTTTTACGGTTCCTCATCCTCTTCACAGTACTTTTTAGGGTTCCTTATTCTATTGATGTTGCTGTTTAGGGGCTCCTTATCCCATTCATAGTATTTTTCAAGGTTCATTATCTTTTTTATATCACTAGATACCAGAATTCCTGGTTTTGACTATCAAGGCAGCTCTATTGCACTGAAGGGTCAGTGTTTGTAGCAAAGGTTTAGGGTTTAGGGTCTAGAGGGTTTAGGGTTTAGGGTTTAGAGGGTTTAGGCTTTAGGGTTTAGAGGGTTTAGGGTTTAGGGTTTAGGGTTTAGGGTTTAGGGTTTAGAGGGTTTAGGGTTTGGGTCTGGAGACTGTGTAGTAAGTAGCTCCTTGTGGCCCTTGTATAAGTACATTACAAGGTACCGCAACACCCTATTCTAATTCTTGGGGCCCCCATACCACACCCGAAACATCACAGAGGCCTGTTTGGCAGAGCGAACAAGACCCAGCGAACAAACGAGTAAAACAGCACTTGACAGCCTCCACACCCAGAGAGCCCAATGCCTCTCAGTAAACCGCTGGTCCTTTCACTATCTCGGGTTGCTTATTATGAGTTCGTATTGATGGCGCTTTGGGCGCTCTGGGCAAAGCCACCCCCAAAAGTCTGCAGTGGCTCGGTTCGTCGAAAGACACGATTTATGGATTGAGGGCTTCAGCCACATTGGGTCTGGGGATGTTGGGATTTCGGAGGTTTGGGTTTCAGTGTATCGAATGGCAGCAGTAGTAGCAACAGTAGTATCAGTAGCGGACCGTGTTGTACAGCTCTTAGAGGCACAGGACGTGGACCAGGAAGAGCTGCGCCGATCCTTGTCGATGCCTCGGATTCGATCCTGGGTTTGCCTAGGGTTTAGGGTTTAGGGTTTAGGGTTATAAGATCTATGTGATGTCTTTTTCCCATCCGATGGTCTGAACATGCGCTTCACTTCTGCTGTTCAAACCGGACCCTCCGGTCCTTAACCGACTCACGTGCCGCACCGAGCTGTCTCTCAGCCAACGTCAAGTCCGGAAATCCATTCCTTTCCTAAAATCCTCAAACCTGAAGCCCTACACTGCCCCTAAACCCTAAGAGGCTTGACCCCCAGCCCTAATCTGCATGAGCTGAAACGCGCCCGACCTCAAACTGTAGACCCAGAGACCACAATAACCCCAGACAGGGACTATTTTTTCAAACACAAGAACCTAGGCAATAAGCTTTGAGGAATACTCCCACGTCACAGGGAAAGGTAGACTTTACTGTAGACCCTACCCTTTGAACCTCCGAGCACAATGGGGGAAGTCGATGTGGTCGTGCTTGGCGCTGGGCTGAGTGGCATCTTCCTGGCCCACAGCTTGCAGTCAGAAGGTAGCAGGAGCCTCGGGTTCTACTACTCCGGGTTTCGGGTTTAGGACCTGCCGCCACTACTGCCACAAATTACTCACGGTGACGACTCTGCTGCTGCAACTATTACTACTACTACTACTGCT